TGAGGCTGCTTGTGGAATCAGGCCCTTTCCTCCCCAGAGTGCAGGACCCAGGGGCACTGCTAATGCCAGGGGAACTCTTCAAAAGCCTCTTCCTCCAGCCAGCAGCTGTGGCTGGACATGGCAGCCATGGTAAAAGGAGTGACCTAGTTGTTGGGACAGAACTGGCTGAGCAGAGCCTGGTGAGATGCTCAGCTCAGTACATTTCTCTCTTGGCCTGGAATAATTTGAGAATGCAACAGCCAATCTGCTCTGAAATGACCAGTGACCTTCCCTGTATTAGCAGGCAGAGCCTGCTTGGTTTGGCAGAAAAACATGAAAAGGAGAGCCAGAAAGTCTCTGGCAACTGCGTAGCAGAAGAAATGCCCTCAGCTATAAGAAGAGATCAGGGGACTCTGGTCTAAAAGGACAAAAAGGTGGATAGCAGTAACCCAGTAGGGCTAAGGTTACTCGGTAAGTTTTATAGTTAGGAATTATCTAGTGTGCTAAATAAGACCACTGCAGAAGCTTTTGTGGAGGGCAGCAGAGCTGAAAGTTGGCAATGATCAGCTGAATGAGTGCATGATGGAAAAATACTGAGCAGGTGGGCTATGTGCCACCTCCACGGCTGGTTTGTATGATACAGCCATTCTCCCATCCCTGGTATTTGTTTTCTTACATCGTCAGCTCCTCAGGACAGATGCTGGTCTATTTAGAGATCTGCAAAGTGCCCATTACGCTTTTAGACACCATTTTCAGAAAATACGTAAGAGTCCAAAGAGCACCGTGATTCCAGATCCAGCAGGCTCTCAAACGCTACAGCTCTGCAGTCTGCAAGCCCATGCCTCCCCGGCACTGCAGGGAAGGCAGAACAGGCAAAGAGGAAAAATCATTGCCTTTATTTCCATCTGTAAAGCATTTTTGTGCTCACGTGTCACTGACAGACACTATGCTTATTTTCAGCTGGCAATCAAGCCCTGTCAGAAGAGATGTTTTCCTTTTTGCTCCTGCCACACTGGCAGAGACCAACACCGCAATATTTCCTCCAGCAAAAAGGAAGGTTTCCTAAGAGGTGCAAAGTCCCTGGAAGTCCTTCAGGGCACAGTAAGTTTGCTGAGCAGGAGAAAAGCTGGGCCAGGGGAGATGAAGCAGAAAGAGAATTAAGAGTTCTTTGTGGCAGCAGCAGTTGAAAGAGAGAGGGAGATAAAGAATAAAAGGTGTCAACGTCATCAAGGTGTTGCATAGCTGTGTCTCAGGCTGGTCCAGCACTGCACCCAGTTCTCTCTGCCTGACACCTTTTTAATTGCTGGATTTTGAAGGGTGAAATTATAATCAGCCTTTTTTGGCTTCATTGTACAGAGGTAAATACCTGCCCAAAGCACAAGGCAAAGCTGTGTGTTTTTCCTGTGCCTGCAGTTTCCAGTGCATACATTTAGCCTCTTTTGTAGTATCCACACCAATCACAGAGGGATCCCCTTGCCTCCAAAGCACCAGTGTGTTTTTGGATGCCCCCCCCCAACACACTTCTGCACAGGAACATCAGACGGAAGCTGCTGGGCTGGAGCTGCCAAATCTCTCCCTATGAGGCAGACAGGCTGGAAATGAGACTCGGCTCTTCCCAGCACCTTTCATTTATGGGATGGTTTAGGCTACTGCTCAGATGGCATTTCCTGAGCATGAGCTGTTTGCTGTGAGTGGTACAGAGTCACTCCTGGCTCCTGGCCAGAGCGCTCCACCTACTGCACACACCACCGCTCCCAACACGCACAAGCCATGTTGTGCTAATCGTCATCAGCTCCCCACACACTCAGAGGAAGGGCAGCTTCCTCTACAAGCCACAACTTCAGAGGCTGTTTTAATAGCCCGCAGCCTGGTTTGTGCTCACAAACACACATGCTCCCTCCCTGTCCTCTCTGCCCCCCCACCAGAAGGTCCGGCTGAACCCCCATGCCGCTGTTCTCTGAAATCGGAAGCAAAATTCTCACTGACTTTCACTAAGTTCCTTCTTCCTTTTCTGGAGATACAACACTGTTTCCACCCCTTCCCTTCTTCATGCAGTCATCCTGATAGCTCAGTAGTTTGGATGCCGCTACCACATCCACCTGGGACTTGGTACCGCTACCTATTCAATTGTATTCTATTCTGCTTCTCAGGTCTCAGTCCTCACTGAAATAGCTGAGTACCCCAGTATGAAAAACTGCCATAGGTTTTATTTCTCCTCTTGGGCAAGAAGGGTGCAGCTAAGTGTTCTGTTTGGTTCGCCTTATGACAATGGGCCAACAGTGAAGATAGCACCCTTCTCACAGCTGAGCTTCTTTCAGGTCACAGAAATCTCCGACAGCCTCAAGAATTTAAAGCAATTAGCCTAGAGGCTCAATACTCTTTCACAGAGAGTTTTCCTGCAGTTTGCCTGCATCTAGGGTAAGCAACCATGTTACAGCTGGAATCAATTGCATTGCAATTGCCTGTAATCATATTCAAAACATGTTCTTCAAATACTTTGATAAGAGGCTAATAGCAAAGTGTATATAATAAGCCTATCATGTACCTTGATCATAAGCTAACTCAGCCATATTCAGACATACTGAACCTCAACCCAGCTGGGTCACCAGTGAGTTTAATAACCATCATAAGCCTTGTCTTTTTGGTTGACTTGAGTGCTATGGGCTCACATCTGTAGCACGAAGGGACAAGACAAGAGCTGTGGGAGTGTCGTCGTTTCTGTTCTGCCATTTCCATGTTAGCAATCCCCCTTCTGTCCTTCCTCAGAGCTCCCGTCTTCCCAGTGACTCAGGATATGGGAGTTACTCATCTCTGTAGATACACAACCCTCTGGAAAATGTGACTTGCTCCTTGAGAGCTTTCTCTGCGTAGGAAGCTCCAACTCCCAGTAAACAAGAGAAAACAAAATGTCTGCAATCAGGGAAAGGATTTTTCCATCCAGTTATATAAAGTGACCATTAACATAGCCAGAAACAGTCAACGATACTAGGAATACGACACGTGGTGCTTTTGGGATGCTACCAAGAAAGCAAGTTTATAAACATCAAGTTGCAGACATTTTCGTCGTCGTTGTTTGTTTTCCTGCAGTGCTTCCAGACCCGCGAGATCTGTTTATCGGTGAGCAGATTTTGCCATTCCTGTCACGCATCCCCCCTGGCGTGAGAAGCCAGGCTCGCCCTTTGGGGGAGCGGGGGGCAGGTGCTGCCCGGTCCGCAGAGGAGGCCCGAGGGCTCCAGCTCGCACCCCGGCACCAGGCTCGCGACACTCAAGTAGCATCGGTGCGGCAGCGCCAACAAGGCTCGGGAGCACAGGGGACGCAAGGCCGCACCGCGGCGTCGGGGCCACGCAACCACCGTTTTGAAGATCCTACAATGCCCTTCCTGAATGAGCGTTTCTGATTGCCACTTAGCATCACGCTATCAGTATTCAGCGTGTTAAGGTGCGTACAACGGCCACGCTGCAGAGGTTTCGGGCTCGGCCAGCCCTCTGGCCGCACGGCTGGTCCCGCTCCCGCCCTGCCACCGAGGGGCCGGC